AAAAGATTTATTGGGATATCTTTTGTTCTTGTAAAATCTGGAATGGGGTTTAGAAAACTTGCTTGTTTGCTGGGCTTTTTTCTTTTTGCTCGAATGAGCGATTAGAGGTAAACCATATTGTTCACAAAACGTTCCAAGTTCATATTTAGCAATAGATTTATCTTTATTAACTTGTTTTGAAATCTTCATGTAAATACACATTTTCAATCCTTCCTTTTGTATAACATTAACTATGTTACCATAAGTAAGGGTATGATAAGGTATGACACCTTCTTCGTTTATCAAAACATTTCGGATTTTGTGAGCAAAAAGATTTGGTAAACCATTGATAAATTTTTCTTTCCAAAAAGATTGATTACTATCTTCGCAAAGCATGACTCTTGATATAAAAACATCTTTATACCAGCTGAAATCACTTAAGGTTGGACACCTTAAATTACTCAGTTGGTCGTGGATACGTGTAGTAACGTTGCTAGGTGTTCCTATAAAGTGTTCTATAATCGTATAAAGTAAAGTATTTACTCTGTTAGGTATTCCCTGTCCTATCGTTTCGTCAAAGATGAGAAGTCCTTCCTCATCTTTTTTGACCGCAAAGCGTATTTCATCTCTGTACTGAGAAGTTAAGTGCTTCTCCCACCAAGAATGAAGCATTCCAGTGAAGCCAGTGACGAGAAGATCAACGATCTGTGTCTGTGTAAAATTGTGATTTGAAATGTAGCTATTAGCAACCATGGACATATTTTGGAGTTTGTTTAAAAGTGCTTGTTCTGACAATCCATCTATATTCCATTTATAGAGTTTGTCAGCAGAGACTGAAAATTGATTTTGATTATTGTTTTCTTCAAATTGTAAATCAGGAGGTGTTGGTCTGGGATACCAGTTTTTTGTAAGAGAGGTAGGGTTGACTGGATGAGTACGAATGCGTTTTAAATCAAAAGTGGGTTGAAGATCAACATTTTGAAAAGCATTTTCAATTTTTTGAATAGCAGAACTAGTTTCTGTGTCCTGAGAAAAATCTGGATCAAAAGTGTTTTCTTCTTCGACAGAAACATTATTGTTTTGCAAGACACTAACAACTTTCTCTTTTTTGAGCTCAGTGAGCATATGATCAATTGTTTTGTAAAGTAGTCATAGATTGTAAAGCATTAGAACTTGAAGAAGTATCAGTGAATTTCACTAATGGTTTTTCTTTTTGAGAAGATTTTGGAAGAGACAATTCGTCGATTTTGGTTTCAATTTTGTCTAACTGTTTTCCAATAGTGTGAAGACTTTGGTTTGTAAAATTATTCTGTTCAATGACAGGTTTAAAACTAGAATCCTCTTTTGGAATTTTGAAAGGAGTTGCAGGAATATTGATATTACCAGTGGAAATCAAAATAGTTTCTTTGGGAGGATGACTGGAAGAAATCAAAGTTTTGTCTTCCTTAACCCAATTTTCTTTGGTAACAACCGTAACTTTATTTTTTGTTTCATAATGTTTTTCAATAAAATCAAAGAAAGATATTTCAAATTGGTATTGTTCTACAAAAGCTTTCCATTCAGCATAAATGGCTAGCTTTTCTTCATCACAATACTTTTTTCTGAAAATATTTCTTCTGGGAATATTTTCCTCAGATGCGATGTCAGCTTTAAGCTTCCTCCATCGGATTTTGTGTTTTTTGTTTAAAACAAGTAATTGGTGATTCACCGATGTGGTTTCAAAATCAGAAGCAGTTGGAGAAGTTGGTTCTTCTTGGTTTGGGGGATGATAAACAGGATGTGCAACTTGTGAAGAAGTGTCGACAAACTTTAATTTGAGCAAATCATTGATTAATTCTTGTTGTGCAGTTTCTTGCTCTTTTAATTTCTTGTTTACTAACGATTTGATTAAATCTTGATCTCGACCCAGTCTATCGGTTGACGTGGATCCAGAAAATGACTGTCTGCTAGGAGTAAAAGATTTATGTGAATGTACTGATTCACAAGATCTTCTTGCTGGTCTATCGAAGTTAATTTTTACAGTGCCATCAAAGTATTGTTCAACATTGTCATGGTTGACAAGGCTATTTTGAATGGCTACTGGTTTACTTTCATTGATTAAACACCAATCTGAAGGAAGACTGATGTCTGACCACTTAATGGTTCTAGGTATTTTTATATTTGCATTTTCTTGTGTTGTTTGGATCAAAAGAGTATGGTCTCGAGGACTTTTGTTTAAAGCCTGAAAATTCATATTTGTACCAGTGACTTTGTAATAAATTCTGAAAATAAGTGCCAAAGGCTGTGTTCCTTCTAGGACGTGATATCCTGAAGTTTTGATGTTGAGTGTGAGTGCTTTCAGCATATGTGGATCTGAAAGACTTATCGTAAGATCCGGAAAACAATCAAAATGGATAGGTCCGTTGTAAAGACTGGATTCAATCATTCCGAGTATACTATCGTTAAAATCAGTAAATCTGGCGTCACGAAGACATAAAAGAATTGAAGTATTAAGACCTTTTCGTGTTAATGGTTTAACAGCAATTTGAACCAAACCAATATGAATATAGTTATGACCGTCTTTCCTATGAGTTTTAATTTGTTCTGGAGAAAATAATTGACAAGTCTCATGTTCTTTACTAAGAGCATAAGCCTTCTCAATTGTTTTGACGTGATGTTCGGATTTAAAAGAGGTTAAAGACCATTTTTTCTTGTAAATATTTGTACTTGAAATCTTTGGAATGTTCCAATCAGAAAAATCAATACTTTCATCCGTTTGAAAATTTTATATATATATATATATATATATATATATATTTGGTCTTCACACATTTAATTACCTTGTAGTATTTCAAGCTACGGCTGTTATCTCGGCCCACCTCCAAACTATTCTGTGAACAACGGGATGATGGTGCATTTAAGGATCCGTGAGATGCTCCTGCTTCATTGACCCGTAGATCATTTTGAGGGGTTATGCAAAACAAGTAGACAAACTAAGTAGGCACAATTTATATTATAGAAAATTTTATTTTAATTCTTAAAAAAAATATGAGTTTTAGACTATAACTTTGTGTAAAATTCAAATCTAATTTTAGTCCCTGCTATATTTAATCATCTCATTTATTAAGGCTTTTTTTATTGGCTACCCCACATAATGGTGAATACACCCCACATTAAAATTTAATATTAAATAATTTATATACCCTAATATGCAATGCCAATTTCAACCTCATATATTTTTTAAAAATAAAATAAAATTCTAAATACACCACAAATCACTTTTAACATGTACATCTGAATATTATTTATCTTCTTTAACTCTCAAAACCGTTCTCACCCTCTATTGTCGAACGAAACCTTAACTAATTAAACTACAAAGAGACATCGGTAAAACTAGAAAGAGCTCAAATGGGTATTGAAAGGGCGGTGTTCGATCAAATAAGCTTAAGTGTTATTTTGAAAGGTTAATCTTAGTTTACTACCCTGAAATTTTTGGGTTTTCAACATTTGGTACATCATGTTTTTTTTGTCCTAGAGTGGTACTTAAAGTTATAATTTTGGGACATTTTCATACATCCGTTAAGTTTTCCGTCAGAATCTCTGTTAGTGGATGATGTAATGCCCACATGGACAATACTGGGCAGCACGTGGATATTAAAAAATTCAAAAAAGAAAAAAAAAATTGGGCCTATTCCTACCCACCCCTACACCCACCTAGCCATCCCTCCCTTCTCCGTTCTCTCCTCTGTGTCTCTTTCCATGGCCGCTGCCCACCCCACCCACCCATTCGCTTCTCATTGTGGGAGCAAAATCGGGCGAATGTGTGGTTGCATTCGATGAGGGCTGGTGGTTTTAAGGAGTTGCAGATCTGGGAGTTGTGAGGGGAGGGAGAGCCAAGAAGGAAGCTCTTATTCGATATGGCTGAGTTTGGGTTGAGCGCAGAGGAGAGAATAAAGAAGGGAGGGAAGGCTAGGTGGGAGGGGGGTTGGGTAGAATAGGCCCCATATTTTCTTTTTAAATTTTAATTCTTATTTTTTAAAATTTTAATTTGTTTTTTAATTTTTTTTAATATCCTTGTGGCGCCTAGTCATTGTCCATGTGGGCGCAAAGTCATCAGTTAACAAAGATTTTAACAGAAAACTTAACGGATATATGAAAATGTCCCAGAATTATGACTTTAGGTACCACTTTGGGACAAAAAAAAAAACATGATGTACCAAATGTTGAAAACCAAGAAACTTTATGGTAGTAAACTGAGATTAACCCTATTTCGAAATACTGTAACTCTCAAAGAATGAGTAGTGTTTGGTTTGATTTAGAGGGAAACGTTGGTGACTTTGAAGAGCTTCTATAAGACAATATTGAACATAATTTGTTGCAAAAAATTGTGGTTGAAGTTTGCCCCTGTGAGATGAAAATAATGTGGAGAACTTTCATATTGCTTTGAAGAATCTGACTAAAAGACAAAGTGAAGAATTTGCAGCCTAAGATTTCAAATGATCATGTTGTGCATGTGGCATAATCGTGATATAAGTGACTAGACATTACAAGAAAAATGGCCTTTGGACACAAAATTAGGTGTTTGTTTCTGTTTAAACACCAATAGGATGGAAAGTGCTCATTCCGTAATGGGCACCATGTGTTGTGCCCAATGTTAAGAGAAATGGACATAATCACATTATTGGGCACAAAACCATGATTTTTGTGCCTTTAATGTTAGAAATGGAAATTTTTTATTAATTTGCAATGACACCATAAATGTAAAGAAGTTTTAACGAAAAGTTAACGGTAATGTTTATTTTAACCAAAAACCATATTTTTACATTAAAAAGTCAATCCTGATACTATTCACTTTACCCTTTATTTTGTCTTTATCATTAATACTCAAATTTTTCAAGCCATTTTTATTAATTTTCTTTAAATGTAGTCATACCCTATAATTTAATATATTTAATGTAAAGGTCGATTTTTTGTGCCCTTTGTTTAAAATAATGTTTTAAACGAAATGAGAAACCCACTTTCCTCAATCTTCCCGCCTGTCTCTCTCCTCGTTTCCTTCCTTCCGCCTCTTTCTGTGTTTCCCCCGTTCAAACCCAGCCTCTCCTCTCTCTCGTTCTCCCTTCCCCAATCGAACCGAGCCTCTCTTCAACCCCAGGCTCTCTCTCTCTCTCTCTTTATCTTTTCCCCAAATTTTTCTATTTCCTTCTCTCTCTCTCGCCTCTCATCTCAATTCTCAACTCCAGTTCACATCTCACGCAGAAACAGAATTTGGAAATCCTTCCCCGTCAAAGCTCACACACTGTAATCGTTGGGTCTCAACTTAAGTTTCAAGTCGAGTTCACATATTCTCAGACTCTGCAAATCTTTCTCCTTCACACAGAATCTGCAAATCAGTCGGCCTCAACTCTTATCTCATCCCCAGTTCCCCTTCAATTCAGTGCCTGCATAATGTGATTCCTTCCTCTCCACTCCGTTCCAGGTAAAATGGTAAGAACTTAGAACTTGTATTGGTTAATTTAGTTAATAATTTGTGATTAATTTTAAGGTTCGGATTAGGGTTCGTTTGAAACAAAAGGGAAACTGAGCTTTTTTATCTTTTTGGTTATAATCAAAAGGGGATTTGATCTGGTTCAGATTCAAACAAACCCATTTTTGCCTCTTTCATCTCTGCCTTTCTCAGACTCCGCCGATGGATGCCGTTTGTCAGCTAGACAACCACCGCATCACGGACTCCTCTCGGATCTAGGCTTTCCTTAGTTATTTTTCTATTATTTTTGTGTATTTGTTTTAACAACTTTTGTGTGTGTGTGTGTGTGTTTTTTTTCCCTGTATTTCATCCTGCAGGAAACTCAACGTCTCCTCAAGGAACCTTATAAGTGATTCACTTTTTTCTCACTAATTATTTGGAGCTTGAATTGAGATTGTGCTTAAATTCGTTTAATTTCTCTACAAGTTTGTTTTATAAAGAAATCAAAGAAATGTGAGTTTGATAGTTGGTTTTAGGCTTTAGATGTAATATAAATATGCTAATTTTGTTGGAGTCTAATTGATGGAACTCTGCAGGAGAGTGTGAAGCCTTTCTCATCTAATTTGGATTGAAAATTGTTCTACATTGGAAGACAGCATTTAATTTCTGAAGTGAATCAAGCGGTAATTGCAGGTTACAATGTGTGCACTACCATTGGGCTTGTTCCAATGATGTCAAGGCCTTGCGTAAATTTTCCTTGTAGTGTGGTATTCCCTATAGCAGTATGTCTTGTTCTTGAATTTTTTTTATCTGCAAGGGCTCATATTTTTGGTCTTGAATGATAATGTGATATTTATCATTTATACAGCTCGTTACAAAATCAAATTTGTGATTTTCATTATTCCTAAGCTACATATTGGCTGTTAAATTCTTTAGATAACTTGTTGGTTGAAATTCTTTAGATAACTCATTGGTGGACTACTAAAAAAAGGTATCTGGCACTCGACCCACAATGGAAGCTCACCTGAATAGTTCTCAGGTACAAATGTGGATCTACAATGTTGTAATTAACTTATAGGTACTCTGTGGAATGAGATAAATGGAGTGAGGTTTCTTACAACTTGCTAATTTATACTTGAGAAATAAAAGTCCCACATAAGGTATTTCGAGCCTTACATGAAATATAAGTAGGTTTTACTCATGATATTTAGTTTTCTATCTTTTGTATTAGTATCCTAACAGTGCTTAATAAACACAGTTAATGAAATGATTAAAAGCGTGTTAATATTTTGTGAAGTTTCAGAGTCTAAATTTCAAAAGAAAGAAAAGAACGAACATTATGCATGTATGAGTTTGGACTTTGGATAATATCCATTACGCAACATTTGATGCTTTCTTTTTTCTCAAACTAGTGTGTTATTTGAATTATGGCCTTTTTTTTTACTCTCATGGCTCGTCAAATCGGAAGGATGTTGAACGGGAAAGAACCAAAGGTTTGGAGTTTGATCCACCTTTTCTTTAATAATCAAATTTCTGAGAGTTGCAATTCTCTTAGGACTAAGAATTTGTTCCGTTCGTTTGAGTGATTACTTTTCTATGTTTTAGCGGTAATATCAAGTGGACTTAACCAATTGATAACACATGAAGCTGAGGTGAAATTAAGAACTAGGTATTCATTATCACAATCTTGTATTCTTATTTTTCATAATAGGCTTAGGTAATAAATCGATTATAAGTTCTGCCAGCTGTAAACATTGAACCATACCGATTTAACACATTATTTTGATGCTAGTACATGCTAGTGCATTATTTTAAGGTTCCAAAGCTATTTGAGCATGTCTGCATGATTTTGGATATGCAACTTATCCTTATATGAGTTACTTGTTATCTGCATTGGTGATTGATGAGATTTCTATTTTTGTGAATTGTGCTAGATTGTTAATGGCCCTGAAGTTTTGGGCAAGTTTGTTGGTGAAACTGAGAAAAATGTTAGGGGATCTATTTGCTGATGCTGAGAATGATCAAATGGCTCACGGTAAGGAAAAAATAAATGTCAATTGCACTTAGGTTGGTTTTTCAATAATTGCTAATGTCATTATGTCCTTAATTCCCTAGGAGACTAGAGTGGTTTGCATGTGATAATCTTGATGAAATGGATGTTATTTGTAAAGGTATAACTATTTCTTACTCCATGCTTTATACTAAGATTCCTTAGAGCAACTCCAGCGTTGGAGCCCTCCCCCCAGGCTATGCACTATTCAATCCACCTAATGAATAGTAACTGCCCTTAATGAATAGTAATAGCCCTGGCAATAGTATTTGCATCTCCACCGTTACACTTCAATAGCCCTGGCAATAGGCAATAAAATATTAGTATTTTTTTTATTTATAAAATAATACAAAATAATTTTAATTGTAATATCGGATAAGATTTTTAATCGTTCTTGTTGCGCTACGTGTCATTATCCGAAGTATTATTAAATAATACAAAATAATTTTATTTGTAATTTCGGATAAGATTTTTAATCGTTGTCGTTGCGCCACTTGTCATAAAATCCGAAAAGACAATTATTGGGGATGGATTTCCGATAAATTTTTTAACCGTACTCGTTATGCCACGTGTCATTATCCGAAAATACAATTATTGGTGATGGATTTCTGATAAGATTATTAACCAATCACGTCGCGCCACGTGTCATAATATGTTCACAATCTTTGAGGATAGATTTCCATCAGATTTTTAACGAATGACGGCATGCCACGTGTCATAATCTGTTCACAATCTTTGAGGATAGATTTCCATCAGATTTGTAACGAATGACGACATGCCACGTGGCATTATGTACAATCTAATCCTTTCTGAATCCTCCATATAATCCACCATCCATCCTCACAAATCTCACACCAATTTTCTGAAGATCTCTATCATTATTCATAGTTTCTGCTTTCTTATTCACAAAAATCTGTATCATTATTTATAGTTTCTGTTTCTTTCTTACAATGTCTTCTTCTTCCTCAAGGATGATGTGGGAACTCGATCAAGAAGAGGAAGAATTGTTTAACCAATCAGAAGCAATGTTCAATCACCAGGGGGCAAAAAAATGAGAGGGAAGAGGATGAGGAGTGTAGAAGGAGAGATGATGAAGTAAGAATGGGCAAAGCCTCACATTCCCGTCAAGTCGTCCAAGCTATGGCTCAAATCTGCAGGCCCAGCCATTCCGGAAACCTCGATAGAAGCAGGTAACGACGAGGTATGGAACTCTTGGATGATTATTTTGTTCCTAATAGTGCATTCCCTGATACGTACTTTAGACGTCGTTTTAGAATGGAACGACATTTATTCAACAAAATCATGATTGCTGTTTGCAACCATGATTCTTACTTTGTGCAAAAGAAAGATGCTTTTGGTGCTATGGGTCTACTGCCTGAGCAAAAAATTACTGTTGCCTTGTGGATGTTTGCATATGGAGCATCTGCAGACCAAGTGGATGAGATAACGAGGATGGGGAAATCAACCATTCTTGAGTCCCTGATGAGGTTTTGCGGAGCAATCGAATCTATCTACACCGCTGAGTACCTCCGCAAACCTACAAACATGGACTTGAAACGGCTGTTGAAGAAGGCCGAGATGCGTGGTTTTCCTGGGATGATTGGAAGCATTGATTGTATGCACTGGACGTGGAAAAACTGTCCAAGTGCATGGCAAGGCGCTTATGGGGACAGAAAAGGAGCAAAAAGTATCATTCTGGAGGCGGTGACATCTTTTGATACATGGATTTGGCAAGTCTTTTTCGGGGTCCCGGGAGCTCAAAATGACTTCAAAGTCCTTGCCCAATCCCCAGTGTTCAACGATGTCCTGCAAGGAAAGGCACCAAAAGTCACGTATGAGGTCAACAGACGTATGTACGACGGGCCATACTACCTAGCTGACGGCATTTACCCGCGATGGTCAACATTTGTCAAAACAGTGCCACGTCCGCGAAGTGCAAAGGAAAAACACTTTGCAAGCTATCAAGAGGGGTGCAGGAAGGATGTGGAGCGTTGTTTCGGTATCCTCCAAGCTCGTTGGGCGATCGTCAGGGATGCTGCCAGATTGTTTGATGTAGAGTCGCTTCGATCCATCATGATGACGTGCATCATTTTTCACAACATGATTGTGGAAGATGAGTACGATTATGAAGCCGTTGATAAATATAAGCCAGACACGATGAACAATTCAAGAACACGTATATATTGTGCTTATGACGCCACCGATGAGCCCGTGCAACATGAGCCATTACAAAGGGATAAACGTTACAATGAAAGGCTCATTCAACGATATACTGCATTTCAAATGCCAGACATGCACAATGCTCGACAAATTGACTTGATAGAGCACTAGTGGGCATTGAAACAAGCTGAAGATAATGAAGTTCATTTAGTGTGTTTTTTTGAATTTGGTATGTTTATATTATTTTATTTGGTGTGTTTTATTATTTGGTATGTTTATGTAATTTTTTTAGTGAGTTTTTAATTATTCGGTATGCTTATGTAATTTTATTTGGTGTGTTTTTGTCATTTCAATAAATATTCTCTTAGTATAAATAACTTACCAAATTAATTTGAATAAATATTCAATAAATTGGAAACAACATAAATAATACAAACAATAAATAATAAATTACAACCCAAAGTGATTGGAAAATTATGGGCTCAGATTACAAAAAGTACTCTATTCATCATCACTTAACCAATTTGTGGTGCTAGGATGATCTTCTCTTGTGGTGCTAGGACCATCCTGGCTTGCTATCGCTTCTCTTGCACGCCTCCTTCGCACCATGTCCGCTTTCTTTGACTTCCAAAAAAATTTAGAATTTGGAGAATTCCCTTCTAAAGGCGTGTTCATAATCTCATGATCTCGTTGAGCCCGTCTTTCTTCTCTAACATGTTCCCTTTCTTGCCTAAGTAGCTCTCTTTCTCTCATTAGCCTGAAATTCTCTCTCAATAGCTGTAGCTTTTGCGTCCTCTCTAGCCTTATCAGCCTCATATTTCGCTAGTTCCCTTGCCAAAGTCAATTCACCTTGGCGAGTAAGTTCTTCTATGAACTTTGCATAATCATTCTTGGAAGCACTCCCTTTTCTCTTTGAAGCCTTCTTACCTTGAGGCCTAATTGGATAACGGGTCGAACCCGACGCTTGTTCAGGGAGGGGCGTTTCAGACACTTCTTCTGCATCATCTTCATGAACATGCGAGACATGATCAGGTGTAGAGTGTAGAGGGATGATGTTCATGTGCACTTCTAGACCGACTGACACAACTCTAAATTTAGGACAATCTTTGACAATATTCCAACATTCCCACCGGTTGAATAATTTATTTTTGCTTTTGGTTTTGGCAGCGTACCAAGCTTGTGCTTGAAGTTCCTACACAATGAAAATAAGTAACAAATAAATAATACAAATAAATAATTATAATGAAAATAAGGAACAAATAAATAATACAAACAACATGATTATAATGTAAGTAGGTAACAAATAAATAATACAAACAAATAATTATAATGTAAATTTGGGTATCAAATAAATAATATATTGTTACCTGATCCGAGTAATTTTCCCCACTTCGAATATTACTACTAGCTTGTGCCAAGGCTTCTCTCCGCGTACTAAACGATTGGCTAAGTAATTTCCAACGACTAGACATCGATTCTTTGGTTCTTTTCCCACCAATTTTCTCAAGATAATTGGTATGAATAAGACTCCACATTTCTCGCAACTGCATCTCATTACCCGTAAGCGAATTATGAGTAACTTCAACCCAGCTAGTACACAACGTAACATCTTCAATAAGCGACCAATTCGTACCTGCACCAGTGGCCATTTTGTTGAAAAAAAAATGGATTCAAACTTTGAGACAAAGAAAGGAATGTGATTGAAAGTAGTTGAGAAAATATGAAATTGTTGTGTAAGGTAGATGATAATGAGAAGGTATTTATAGAAAAGTAAAACAATTTTTTTCAGATTTTTTCAAATTTTTCAGATTTTTTCAGACTTTTCAGATTTTTTTTTTGAATTTTTTTGAATTTTTTACAATTTTTAAAATTTTTTTATTCAATTAATTAATCTCTGCCTTGGATATAAAAAAATTTGAATTCCAACACTCCAGATTGTGCCACGTGTCACAACGGTAACTTTTCTTAATTTTAAAACTATTTTTTCTTTTATTTTTTTTATTTATAAAGCATATTAATATCCACAGTTGATCTCAGATCGAACGGTGGATATTAAATAAGACTTTTTTATTTTTTTTTACCGTTGAGATCGAACGGTTGAAATTAAATAACCGTTGAGATTGAATGGACCGTGGGAAGCCACGTGGCTTCCCAACGGTAACTGAAAAAGTTTTTTTTTTTTTTTTTTTTTTTTTTTTTTTTTTTTTTCTGATTTTGTGTCGACGACGCACCCCCACGCGCGAGTGGGGTGCACGCGCCTGACACAAAAAAAAAATAAATAATGCCTGACGTCAACGCTGACGTCACATGGCCTCAGGTTCTCGGGCTGGCAATTCTCCACGGGCCCGGAGCTCGAGCCTCCACCTTCACTCGGGCTTGCCCACGCTGGAGCTGATCCACCAGGCCTCGGGCCCCTGTTCTGTCCCTGTCCCTCGAGCATTTGCCCATGCTGGGCTTGCTCTTATAGGCAAGAAGGGAATGTGGTTAAGTTACATTGCATGAAGAACTTGGGTCCTAACGACTGCAGTAGGGGAGGATAGGATTCTGAAGAAGGGCTTGGTTGTAAATATGTGGGATTTATTGTAAATAATTAAAATACATGTATATTGTGGGATTTATTGATTTTATGAAAATTTAGAATAATTTTTTTTGTTTCAATTTTTTTGTATTTTTCAAATTGAACCTATTGGGCACGATTTGAAATTTGTGCGCATGAGTGTCTGTCATCTGACATGTTGTCAGAATTAAGGCACAAATAGGCTATTACAAGCATAAATGTCTGCGCTTTGCTGCAGGTTTTAGGAACAACATTTAAAACAATACTATTAACATATAAATAAGTTTTATACAACAATGTTTGCATGTACATTATTTGAGAAGGTAAATTACCAACATATTACAATGATCAAAAGATCAACATTTTCTTATTTCATTGTTTTCTGCTCATCTTCATCTTCATGATGTTGAGGTTTATGATTTCAGCTAGTTTCTACAAAGTTTGAAAGAAAAAAAAAAAAGAGTTGTTAGTGTGGACACATAGGGAAATAAAAGGGGGACATATAAGCAAAACTGAGATAGAGTTCATTTGTGATCCTGAAGGTGCTAACGATTTTTTTTTTCCCTTTATTATCATATGTTGTGGTTAATTTCATGAAAAAACCATATATAAAGGAATCATGTGCAAACAATGCAACATATAGAGTATTAAAAGGCGGATGGGGAACATGTGAAGTCTAAGAGCAAAAACATATAAATGAGCAACATGTAAGGAATGTTAAAATAGAGAAGACATCGATGTACAAGGTTGTAATGGAGAAGGGCATATTATGTGGAATAATATCCTAGAAGATGGTGGCCTGAAGAACCAAATTGTCTTATAGCATACTTCTCAATAGTTTTAAAAATGGATTGGATTCCTATATTTCAGGAATTGGCACTTTAAGATAAGACAGTAGTATTTAGAAATAAATGATCAGATACATACATATTCCTATGTGTGAAGGGCTCGGACTCTTACCTTAGTACTAAACCTGCCTATTGGTAAAAAGATAAAACAAAATACCCGTACATGATATTTTCTTCGTTGCTTCAATCTAAAGAGGAAGGCTTATCATAAGCTTCAGGTATCTGTAAAAAAAAAGGGTAAGTATATGAATTCTCAAAATAAAATTGAAATCGAAATTCTTATTTCTAAAAGAAATTGAAGACAAATTAAGATTAGATTATAAATTGAACATATATTAAGAGTAAAATCAACACTCGTTTCTCAGGAACTAAATTATTGTGTATCAACGCTTCTTCTCATCTAGGATTAGTTCCATATTTTTAACAAAGAAATGTGCTGCAGATTGTTGCTTTAAAAAATAAAAGTAAACTTCAATTGAAATGTATATATTATCTTCAATCATTTGTAACCATATAGAGGTATTGAAGGAATGATACACACTGAAAGCTCATATGCTTTGTAAAAACAACATAAATTCACTTGGGATTTACTGTTAACTGTTAAGCCAAGCTACTAAGAAATTGGAACTTATTTTATAAAATAATTAACCTTTTTCAGGTTGAAGCAGTTCCAATCCTGGGGTTGGTGACCTCGAGCATTATGGCAACTCTTCTGTTCTCATCATAAAAAACGGCTCCTTTTTATAAAGAGATTATCATCAAAGCATTGCTGCTCAACACCCAAATCATCAAATATGAGACAAAACAAATTCTAATGTTTAAAAGGAATTCCACGAAATAAATAATGTCTTTATCAAATCTTTAATTCATTACAGTAAAACCCAAAAATCTAAAAAGTTTAATTAACCTTACATGACCACTCATGAGGAAGGTCAAGGCAGCAAAACCCAACAAACCCAAAATATTCAAATAAATCCCACACAAAAAAATCCATTTGAAAAAACCTACAAACAAAATAATTCACTACTTTTTTATAAGAATTCGAACGGAGCTATAGAACATACCAATTTGAAGCGAGAAACCTCGGTGAAAATAGTTGAGGAAGGCACGTTGATCTCAAGAAGCAGAGAAAATTAGGGATTTTTTCCTGGCTCCAAATCATCCTTAGACGCCGTTACTCTTTCCAAACAAAAAACAACCAAATTGGGGATTTTTTGGGTGAAGAAAAAAGAGAAAATTAAAAGAATGATCCTTTAATGTACACATGCATTAAAGATGTATTGCTCCGATAAAGATAATGAAGAAGAATGATCCTTTAATGTTAAGCTTACTGCTCGTGGAAGATCTCCTCAAGAATTCTGCCACCAACTTTAACCATATAAGAAAATATGGTTGGACAGAATTGCATAAGGAAAATAAGTCAGGAAAGTGAATTTGTAAGGAGCTCAAAGGCATTCGATTTGGTCATTTACATACAGCAATAGCAAAAAATACAAAAAACTATACCATCTCGCTTCGATCATCTCCTGCAGGTTCTGAAAGACCACTTGGTTCGCTAGGTGGCCGGGCACAATGAGAGTTTGGAATTGGTGGAGGGCATGGAGCGATTTTCTTAACTTCCCTGCTGCAGACAAACATCAAAACCCACAACCAAGTTCACCAAAAATGCACAGAAAAAATACGACTACCAAACTCACAAATTAATCGAAGTACTCTTCAAAATCTAGAAGGAAAAAAAAAACTAAATCTCACATAAAAATATAAAAAAAAACCCATAAGTTTAATGACGGATCCTCTAAAACTCTGAAATTTAGACGAAATTTTTTACAAAAGCATGAAAAATTATTAACATTCAATTATATTAAATCACTATGGGGAATTAATTTGGTTTGTTTCAATTAGAGTATGAAAAATTTACTAAAATTCAATTGTGCAAATTTACACTTCTAAACACATAATATTCAAATAAAGAAAAATTTGAATAAAAAGGTACTGACATTTCAACGCCCATAGCTTGGATAAAATGGAATTCTCAGAAACTCATGGAAAATCCTCAATGAAATACTTCCAAAAGACGAAAAGTATACAATTTTAAACAGAAAAAAAGGTACGAAAAATGCCTTAACAAATCGATGAAGCTGGATCATCACAGCATCTTCTCTTTCCTTTATCCTCATACTCTCTACCCATGTTCATGCCAGTACAATGCTCAAACACAACCTAAATTAATTCAAAGGAAATATGCAGAACCCAAGCGAAATTAATGAATTCAAATAATTATTCCGTTCCTCTGCACAACTCAAATTAATTCGAAGGTTTTTCATACCTCGGGGAAGAGCACCGTCTCCTAATTTGGGTTGTGCAGATTGGTAAAAGTGATTGGGGAGGAATAGCAGAAGAGTCCACTGTCTCTCAAGCTCTTCCCTCCACCTATTCCCATTAAAAAAATTTTAATTAAAAATTTGAAGAAAAAACTTAACAGAAAATCACTAATCTGTTCAATAACTTTGGAATCTTTTGTTATTTTGCTGAAGAAAAAAAGGTGGAAACTTTACCTAAGGAACTGAAAGAGGTTGTGATGAGAGCAAGGCAGATGGTGCTGGAGAAACTATGGAGGGAAAAAATCAGAACCGATAGGATTGAATAAATCAGTCGGAAAACTCAAGATGTGATCAACCTGTTGTATCCACACAAAAACCAAACAAATTAATCCCAAAACCCGAACATTCCAAATCCCAATCCCCTAACATTCCAAATCCCAATCTCAATAACAAACAATCACACAAAAAAATCGTCAATTAGATTCGATAGCATACCATTTCCTCAAGATCGGTTGGAGACCAGAAAACCTTAACATTTTCTGGGCTTGAGATTATATTCGAATCGACACCAGATGCATTGGTTTTCAACGATAAGGCGGAAGCAAAAGCTGAGAAAGAGGAGATGAGTAAAGTGACACGCGTCCCACTCAACACGCGTCACTATGCTAAGCCTGCCAGGTGACACAACCATTACTGTAGAAAGAAGTCTTGTGAAGAGCCACTTGTGTTTCTGAGGCAGGAGTCCAGAGACTTCTATTGGACACCGAGGGCCAAAATCGTCATTTTACTGTGTAAAAGACCAAAAAAGCAAGACTTGAAGAGCAATTGAAGGGCAAAATTGGAAGAACACTGATAAATGAACAGTAAAAAGGACACAAAGGGAATTAACTGAAAAGTTAGACGTTTGGTATATACTAGATAATAATGCTCGCGCGTTGCTGCGGGATTACAAATTGCAGGAATAATTATGTTTGAACGACTACCAAAGTTTAATCTAATATAATCAGCTGATTTTTTATTTTCAGCTATATGAACACATGTTGGAAAAAATAATAATTAGAGTATGTATAAACATAATTACTTGGTGAATTACTAAATCATGAGATAATGAAGGGTTTGCAATTAGATACAACCAAACCCATTAGGCCAAAATGCTAAAACAATACTAAAAATACAAACCAGAGTTTTTAAATTTGATAAAAAAAAAACGATTAACATCAGAAACAACGAACAACACATTCGAGTATATTTTGTAAATATGATGTTCTCCTTAAGTCTTAACTAAGACAGCATTTTCAACTGCAAACAAACTCAATCAATGAATACCAAGGGATAGAAAAAACCTTGCAATCCTTGTCTGCAACTTTGGTGGAGATGTAGTTGTGTCAGCTACAAAGATTGGAAATGCATCAAACAAAATAAATAGCAAACTTAGTTATAAGCCTTGAGCTTTATCCAAGCTAAACAACAGTCAAAATTTAGGCACTCCAAAAAATGACAGAAAAATTAATGAGAGTAACATAATTTACACCAATAAACTACCATTGAATTTTAAGTTTGGAATGACTTTTCTCCATATTCTCCAAATCATTAAAACAATCTTATTTACATCATGTGAAAATCTATTTACAACCCTAAAAAGTGTTTTAACTACAGCATAACAAAAGCGTTTTGCAAGAATCTTAGTAGGAATTAACCAATTGAACTAATAAATGTATCTCTAAGTTTCCAAAAGTGTTTAAATTGAAACTAACATATCGATGACTTAGGTTTCAAAGTGCACTATAAAATTGATTAATTTAAACAGAACAATCTCAGCAAAGCAAACATTTTTATATCCTCCAGAAATTTATCTGTTCTGTTACCTACCAAAGCTAATTTGTTCCAAAAGATTGAAAGCAAATGGTTTTCAACTTTGAAATCCCACAGCATCAGTAGATTAAAGAAAGAGTTTCTCCAAAATCACAATAACAAAATTTGAACAGAAAATCTATTTATAAATCCAAATTACACTTTTAAAAACTTCGGCAGTTGCTGTTGTTTGTTTCATTTTGGTTTTGGTTTCGGTTTCGGTTTCGATCCACATCAAATATTTCATTCATTTAATTGGAGGTTCGCACATAATTAGGTCAATTAATTTCATCTTATGAAGTCACTTTTGGGATTATGAATGTGAAGGTATTTTGATTAAATTTTAATTGCACTCTTGCAGTGGTTGCAAAGAGAAACAAAAGAGCTCTCTATGAAACTCTTGACAAACTGATCATATTTCTAAGACCCTGTCAAGAATCACTTAGTTGAGAACTCCATTGCTCAAATAAGAACATAAATTACGTACTTATCAGTTTCAAACAATTATAGTCATATAAATTCTTTTTCTTGGTCAATGTAGTTTTTGTTTTTTTTAACTTCAAAAAACTTGAAAGGGAAGGGCAATCATATTGCCTGTAAAGCAACTATCTGAATGTTCATATGATTTTCTATCTTTATGCAATAGGATTTCCACGTATTATCATGAGTGTCTTGGGTGAACCACCATTCTAGACCAACCAAAGCATCAATTTATTATATTAACGTTTCATAACCATCATTTATCATGATATTATCAAATTGACTTAACCTCTATTTAGATAAATATTATCATGATTCAGCAACATCCCTAAACTTTCAAAAACCCAAATAGAAACAAAAGCATTGGTGTAAATTAACTATCTAACTGAAGAAATCAAAACAAAAGTATATACCTCAAAATGTCAAGCAGCCAAATTCTTCCTCCAACGACCCAAAATTCTGAAAATTCCATGAAAAAGGTAAACCCATTAGCAATTCATAGACTTTATAATAGCTAAAAAATGGGACAATGGTAAAGACGTGGTGAGAACCATCCCTCTTTTTGCTTATGTATTTGAAAATATATTTTATAAGCAGTTTATAGAGTCATTTTGATCATGTTGCATGTAAATGCCTTTCCACAGAGTTTAAAAAATATGGCAGTTTATGGTATCAGTTGAATAACACGGTTGAAAGATTTAAAACGGATACATTCAATTTTTATGTCAAACTATAACATATAGCTAAAGATGTTGGGTCTATATACCCATATCAATCATGTGCTAATTAAAAGTTTATCAATGTAAATAGATGATTTCAATCATGTGATAATATAGTTTGCTTCAACCTAAATGCATGTGCATGCAGATGTTTGTTAATGCATCTCTAAGTAGATGGTTAATCAATTCAAAAGACTATTCTGTCAATTTGCTACTGAACTTTATGATCACTGTCGCTTAAATTATTTTAATTAGCCAATTTACTCACTCTCCGTTAAATTTCTATACACTCCATCCATGTCAGTGTTAAAATTTTGCAGCAGCTCCAATTACTTGTGCAAAATGCCCAAAAATTTTCTGCAAACAAAAGATTCAAGTGTTAGACAATCGGTATGAGATAACCACGATGAAGTGTAAAGAAGAAAGTCAATTGGCATATCCGTAAAATAGCATGGTCAAAATCAGCAAGATTGTTAAAGTTATTGGCTGAATTGAGTGTAATTGTACATGTAAAGTGAATGATTTCATGTGCAACTGTTTTTCAGCGAGGTTTAAGTAATCAGGCTTTAGAAAAATATTATTCCAAAAATTTCAACAAACATAATTAATTTGGTGATTAGCAATAGCCTGCATTGATAGAAACACAACTTGAATTCCAATGTCATGATGATTCAGTTCCCATATGCAATTGTGATTCTTATATCATCTATACTGCAAAATTTGATCAAAATAAGATGAAGATTAATCCAGCCGGTTTCTTCACTCCTATAACGGAAGATCAAAATACCTACATCAGCACTACATAAGTCCTCTAATTTGTATGGAAAACTTGTATTTAACCAACCTACTCTTTTCAAATGGAATTTGGTGTATAAAAAAAATGAGAAAATCAAAAACTTTGCAGCAGAAATATAAAAAAAATAAATTAAAAAAAAACCTCACCATGTATTAAGACTTTAATTCCAATTGCCAATTCAAGATCCCTAGCTTTTGATCCATCATGGTCATACTCATAAAACCTTGAACATGAAACCAAAATCATTACTTTGACAAATAAATATAACCAACAACAAAACAACTAAATTTTCAAATGCCAAAACTTACCAGCTGAGTTACTGAACACCACGATATCGGGTCTACCTCATCTCTCTTCCTCTTATGCTCCAACGCAGTTGAAATCCTGACCATTTCCACCCATCAAAACATAGAAATAATTAGATTTCATTTTTGCGTTTACGGAATCAATCAGATATCAATCAAACTAAAAAGGATACAACAAAGCAAAGATTCTTTGGTTCTCACACATTGTCCCTGTCGAATCATCCCATGAAAAGCCGGCTTTTGTGGCGATGGTGCTCTTTTCTTCCACACTATTGGAATACCATCTCATACTTGGCTTGCAAATTATTCTTCTCCATCTCCTTCGCATGTATCTTTTCCTCCAGTTTAGTATAGAACCGCCCAAAGTAATTGTAAACGTTACTTCGCTAACAGATTAGCACACTGCAAAGGAAAAAATCAGAAAGATGCAAATGCAGAAACAACAACTCAAAAATTCAATATCCATTTTCCCTTCTGATGCTATTTTTAAGAAAACTATCATCTCCCTCAACAGATTTATTCATGAGATAATTTAAAAAATAAAATAACTTTCACCATTAACTGTGAATATCCTCATAGGGTAACGATTCTCAAAATTAATCCCTA